AGCCGGCCCTGGACTCACATGTCACCCCTCTGCAGGCTGCAGCACACAGTGACGCTCCTGCAGCAGCAGTGTGAGGAGCATCACCTGCTCCTGCAGACTCTGCGTGCGGAGCTGCATGTCTACGAGAGCCTCCCCGGCCCCTCTGCCCAGACACGTACAGGTATGGGACCTGTCACCAGTGCCGCCCAGCCCCTCTGCAGCCCTTGGGGATCCCAAACACCTCTCCTTGTCATGGCAGCAGGAGAGACACGGTGGCCATGCAAGCAGGCAGTGAGGGAGGGAAGGCCCCTCAGCTACGCCAGGCATGGAACTATGGCCGTTCGTAGGGGCTCAGACATTTCTTGTTCCAGGCTGCTTCCCATCTCCTCCAGTGCGGGATGTTGGCACGAGCTCAGCAGCTCCCCTCTTCTCCCCGCTGCCCTCTGATGTGTCAGTGGCCAGGCGGATGGATGGTGGGTACCAGAATCTGCCCACACATGGGCTTCAGGGCTGCTGAGACCTGACAAACTCATGGCACCACCCTCGCTGAGCAGGGATGGAAAGCCCAGCATAGACCTCCTGGGATGGAATTGGGAGGGCTGCAGCGGGAGCAGGCAGTGGACCTCACCCAGCCCTGCCTGTCCCACAGAGCCACGTGGGGCAGACCCACCAGCGAGGAAGAGCGACGGACCAACGGAGGCTCATGTCATCGGCCAGCTGGACACCTATCAGGCCCTGGAGCAGCGCATCCTGGAGGGGAAGGCACTGGCCCGCGAGCTGATATGTCTCGCGCGCCCAGCACTCAGGCTGCCCAACTGCCAGCTCCTGGGAAAAGAGGTAAAGCGTGGGCAGGACAGGGCTGGTGGCCACTGGGGGACAGACCCTGCTCTGTGGACCATGCATAAAGCAGCTCCCGAGCCCACTGTTGGCCCTGAGCCCTGTAGAGCTGGCCCGCAGCAAGGAGCGCCCAGCCAGGGGGCTGTCGCCGGCACTGCCCTGCTGTGTTGGGCTGGGCACGGTGGGTCCCTGGGTGCAGCGGGGTGCAGGTGCCCCAGCAACCCTCTCCCGCACCCCTCTCCTGCAGGCCCCAGGCTGGGCAGGCGCAGGGCACCTCTGGGGCAGCGCCAGCACACTGCACCGCATCCTGGAGGAGTGCGTGTCTCTCCTTGCCGCCTTCTGGAGCACCGTGCTGCCCATCGGCCCTGCCCAGCACCAGGGCAAGGTAAGCCCCAGGCCGAGGGCTGGCAGGGCTGGATCGTGCTGGCCACTCATCGTGCTCCTCTCGTCCCAGGAGCAAGCGCTACAGGGCGAGATCACCACGCTGCGTGCCCAGCTCTCCGAGAGGGAGGATGCTCTGCAGAGCACGGCCGAGCAGCTGCGCAGCACAGCCCGGCTCAAGGACAGCATGGAGCAGTTCATCGTGAGCCAGCGTACGCAGCCTGGGTGGCATACTACTGTGGGGTGGCACGGCCAAGCTGGCTTGGTCCCCATGTGCCTGGGGCGGCTCCACAGCACAGGGACCTCACTGACCCCATCTCTCTCTCCCTTGCAGTGACCAGGACCCACAACGTGCTGCGCAAGGCTAGGACGAACCTGGAGGTGAGTTTGCCCTGGTAGCCAGCACGGGATAGGGGCAGGTGCCCCTGCCCTGGTGATGGGCACAGATGGCAGACACCCTGTGCTCTGCCAGCCGAGTGCAGTGTTGCGGGGACAATGACACAGGGACCCACTTTCCTTGGCTGTCCCCAGCCTCTCTGTCCATGGCCCTGGGGAACAGCATTCCTCTGGCGTAGGCCTGCCTTGGTAGTGCTCCTCCTAACTGCCACGCGTGCTCTCTTGCCAGGTGAAGGCCCAGCAGGCCCTGTCTGTCGCCTGAGCCCCAGGCAGGGCAGGGAGCAATGCCCCCAGCTGTGGAACAGCCCGCTGGCTGCCAAGCCGTGCCATGCCGGACGACTGGAGCGGACCCCGTCCCTGCTATGTGGACAGGGGTCCGGGGTCTTCTGTGGTGGTTGTATGCCCTCCGCCCGCCTTCACTTGGCATCGCAGCAGCAGCTGCTGGCTTGGGCTTTCTCTGCCCCATGCTTCAGTACTCACCCCACGCCCACCCACAGTGCTTAGAGTGGGGCATCACCGCTGGCCACACTGAGCATCTTGCCCTGGGACTTGGTCCCATCTGTAACCCTGCTGCGTACCTGTCCCTGCTCACAGATGTATGTACATGTATATAGACAGAGCTATCGGAGCTGCGTTTCGGGGGCTCCCCAGGCATGTTGGGGCCCCAGCGCGGGAGGAAGATGTAAGAAATGCTGTTCAGTGGCTGGAGAGTTCCAAATAAAGGTTTCCTTTGGGTTGTGGTGTTTCTGGCACGCCTGTCTCTGCAGCCGTGTGCCCCCCTCCCCAAGCTACCCACAGCACGGGGTGCCATAGGCACCCCAAGGGGGTGGCTCCCAGCCCCATCCCTGCACCCCCAGGGCAGCTCTGTGCCCCACCAGGTGCTCCCTTCCCTCCCCTCGCTGCGCCGGAGCCCCCCACCAACACCAGGCCAGCAGCACCGAGAACAATAAATACTGTAATAAATAGAGAAAACCCTGTTGCATGGCACTGCTCCAGTAGCAGGCGGTGTAGCCAGGGTCCCGGGGTACCTGCCCTGCTCGGCTCTCCCCAGGGCCCCTCAAGCGTGGGTGCGCGCAGGTGCCCCTCTGGCTGTGACGAAGTCAGCCCTGCCCCACGGAAACACTCCATCTTGGGGACGGAGCACGCAGTCCTGGACGGTGCTGTCCCAGCGGCAGGGAAGCGGGGCTGGAG